GCTAGTGTATACTTACTGACCTCCGTATTACTGCCTTGCTGCGAGCAGAGAGCCTGCCAGTGGCCAGTGACGTCGTGTTTTGTCCTCAGTGAAAGTCTCTAATAGGGCACGATGGACGACTCCTATCCCTTGTCAAAGGCATCCGTTGACCACCATAGCTCCAAACGATGCCACTAGGGCCACCCACGACCACCCTCGATCTGGCTCCGTCAACTTTGTACTTCAATGTATATATTTCTGTAAATTAGCTTTCATTACAAGTACACATTTTTAGAGAAAAAAATATCTATTTAACCAAAGGCAAATGAAAAGTTAACATTATGTGTCCTCATACAAAAGCGCTTTCACTCGACATATATTTACTTTCATCCTCTTTCACACGCCTTTCATTCCTAGTTAGAGTTATCTCCCTTGGGACCATAAAAAAATTGTCAATCTCCTCGCCTGATATTAACATAAAATTTACAAAAACAAACACTCCACCGTGTCAATGTCCAGTGGTTGGGAGGAGTCCTACCAAACTGGACACTGTCAAAACAAGAGACGTTTTTAGCGTTGTTAACATATCAATTAAAAAATACTTGCATTATCAACAATTTTTTTTCGTGGTAGAATATTTAACTTTCCTTTATATAAATATTACAATTCGACATTTACCAACATATTTCATGGCTGTAAGAGATTGAGAAGTTTCCCCGTCAATAGTATTCATTCATTGATTCATTGATTCATTCATTCATTTTCTTTCATTCCTTTATTCATAATTAATTAATTAATTTATTAAGTTGTTCTTTTAACTGATTTGAAAATTAATTTAAATTCAATGATATTACAATTAATGCATAAAAAGTAGTTAGCAAAACAACAGTTGACACAAATATCAAGAAAAATGTCTGTAAACAGAACTCTTCCTACTAAGTTGAAAATTTAAAAGGAAGTAAGTACTGACATGTAACTATCTTTATACTTCAGAGAAATGGACTTTGTATAATTTTTTTTTACATTATGAAGTAATAATTATGTAAATATTATATATGCAGACTCTGTATTTATTTTTTTGTGTTGCTATTTCAAAATATGTCTTATCTTCCATATTGCGTATTTCATACAAGTAGCTATTGTCATAATAATGTGTTTGTGTTTATCTTCAAAATTACCAAGAAGAAATTAATCTTCAGTCCTAATGACATCAAGAAGTTCATTTTTTCCGTGGAAAGTTGTCTGACATTCTGTTTTCAATTTTCAAAAAGAAGTGGTAAAAAAAGCGTACAATGGATTCAATATTCCTACAAAAATGACATTTCCCATCAGATCTGTTAATGACTTACAATTTTTGCTTCTGTATAGATTATTCTATGTAAGAAGTTCCATTCAAAATTTTTTCAACTTTTGGCATATTGCTATAAATTTAGTTTTTTCCCAAATTTGTCCCCAGTCTTTTACTTCAACTCATTTGTTTTGAAAATATTCTTCCCGTTTGATTTCTGCTAAGGGTTTACAGTCTGGCATCAGAATATTTTGTATAAATTTGTCTCTAAGTAAATTGTACGATACTATTTCTATCTTGTTATCTATATAACTCTATTCTTAATGACTAAAAGCAAGTTGTTATCTATATAACTCTTTTTCTTTACATACATTGTCCTTTAAGGGAAAGTCATCGGTTGTGTTTCAAAGCTATGACAGAACAAAGTCATTGGAATGCTACTAAGTACTCTCTGTTGTCGGTTGGTATTGAATTGGACACTAAAGGAACGGCAGACCCCTTGTGAGTATAATCTGAACGGGTACGTGGTCAAACCACCGTGTCGTTTTGACGACATTTCAGTGGCTACTGAAAGGAGTAAGTATATAATAATGGATGAACATTACAACGCGGCATTTAAAGTCGGACGAACATTTCAAACGCTTATAATCCGACGAACATTTCAAACGCTTATAATCCGACGAACATTTCAAACGTTTATAATCCGACGAACATTTCAAACGCTTACAGTCGGACGAACATTTCAAACGCTTATAATCCGACGAACATTTCAAACGTTTACAATCCGACGAACATTTCAAACGCTTACAGTCGGACGAACATTTCAAACGTTTATAATCCGACGAACATTTCAAACGCTTATAATCCGACGAACATTTCAAACGCTTACAGTCGGACGAACATTTCAAACGCTTATAATCCGACGAACATTTCAAACGTTTATAATCCGACGAACATTTCAAACGCTTATAATCCGACGAACATTTCAAACGTTTATAATCCGACGAACATTTCAAACGCTTATAATCCGACGAACATTTCAAACGTTTATAATCCGACGAACATTTCAAACGTTTACAATCCGACGAACATTTCAAACGCTTAAAGTCGGACGAACATTTCAAACGTTTATAATCCGACGAACATTTCAAACGTTTATAATCCGACGAACATTTCAAACGCTTATAATCCGACGAACATTTCAAACGTTTATAATCCGACGAACATTTCAAACGTTTACAATCCGACGAACATTTCAAACGCTTACAGTCGGACGAACATTTCAAACGTTTATAATCCGACGAACATTTCAAACGCTTATAATCCGACGAACATTTCAAACGCTTACAGTCGGACGAACATTTCAAACGCTTATAATCCGACGAACATTTCAAACGCTTATAATCCGACGAACATTTCAAACGTTTATAATCCGACGAACATTTCAAACGTTTATAATCCGACGAACATTTCAAACGTTTATAATCCGACGAACATTTCAAACGCTTATAATCCGACGAACATTTCAAACGCTTACAGTCGGACGAACATTTCAAACGTTTATAATCCGACGAACATTTCAAACGCTTATAATCCGACGAACATTTCAAACGTTTATAATCCGACGAACATTTCAAACGTTTATAATCCGACGAACATTTCAAACGTTTATAATCCGACGAACATTTCAAACGTTTACAATCCGACGAACATTTCAAACGCTTAAACTCCTGACGAACATTTCAAACGATTATAATCCGACGAACATTTCAAACGATTATAATCCGACGAACATTTCAAACGCTTACAGTCGGACGAACATTTCAAACGCTTATAATCCGACGAACATTTCAAACGTTTATAATCCGACGAACATTTCAAACGTTTATAATCCGACGAACATTTCAAACGTTTATAATCCGACGAACATTTCAAACGCTTATAATCCGACGAACATTTCAAACGTTTATAATCCGACGAACATTTCAAACGCTTATAATCCGACGAACATTTCAAACGTTTATAATCCGACGAACATTTCAAACGCTTATAATCCGACGAACATTTCAAACGTTTATAATCCGACGAACATTTCAAACGTTTACAATCCGACGAACATTTCAAACGCTTACAGTCGGACGAACATTTCAAACGTTTATAATCCGACGAACATTTCAAACGTTTATAATCCGACGAACATTTCAAACGCTTACAGTCGGACGAACATTTCAAACGCTTATAATCCGACGAACATTTCAAACGTTTATAATCCGACGAACATTTCAAACGTTTATAATCCGACGAACATTTCAAACGTTTACAATCCGACGAACATTTCAAACGTTTATAATCCGACGAACATTTCAAACGCTTATAATCCGACGAACATTTCAAACGCTTACAGTCGGACGAACATTTCAAACGCTTATAATCCGACGAACATTTCAAACGTTTATAATCCGACGAACATTTCAAACGTTTATAATCCGACGAACATTTCAAACGTTTACAATCCGACGAACATTTCAAACGCTTACAGTCGGACGAACATTTCAAACGTTTATAATCCGACGAACATTTCAAACGCTTATAATCCGACGAACATTTCAAACGTTTATAATCCGACGAACATTTCAAACGTTTATAATCCGACGAACATTTCAAACGTTTACAATCGGACGAACATTTCAAACGTTTATAATCCGACGAACATTTCAAACGCTTATAATCCGACGAACATTTCAAATGCTTATAATCCGACGAACATTTCAAATGCTTATAATCCGACGAACATTTCAAATGCTTATAATCCGACGAACATTTCAAACGCTTATAATCCGACGAACATTTCAAACGTTTACAATCCGACGAACATTTCAAACGCTTATAATCCGACGAACATTACAAGCACTTAACAAACAAAGAAAAATAAAAAAAAAACATCTGGAGTCAATGACTAAACGATGGATGCAACGTTTAGAATTCATGTTTTATTTTAAGACACATAATCAGTAATTTAGATATCAAATGTTTTCTTCTGTACTTTGTCATTCAGATTATAATGACTTATCTATTTCCTTTTCATTAATATGATTGACACTGAAATCATAATTGATATTTGTATGGTTGGAATACATAAGCAGAATATGTCAGTTGCTGTCTCCTATGTTTATATATCGACAGTGTTAAGGTGAGGTTGCACTAAATCTGCTTAGTATATTTAGCAGCACTACAGTTCACGGCGGCAACTAACAGCAAAGAAAACATGACACAAGCCCACAATTGTTTTCAAACTATTTCTTAATATATCTAAAAAGAGATTATTTTTTCAAAATTTGTGTTTCAGCTTACATGATCCATCATAAGTTTGAAATCAATTTTTGAAATGTTTTAAGATAACAATGCTTGATCAAGTTAAGGAAACCGATAACGTGTATAGACTTTCAGCGGGGCATTGATGAAATCAATCAAGATGTTCATTTACACACGAACGACCTTAAATACAATACAGTAAAAGAAATGAACATCATGTTTACTTCAAAACAAAACAAAAACCAAAAACAAAAAATACAGACATTCGTCCTGTTGATTGAAGTAGATATTTCGCCATCAACTTTTGTTTTGTCCTTAAAAACCATATGTTCTTAATCATGCGAGTGGGCCACATGTTTCTCGTTCAAGGGAATTACACTCACGTGACTGAAATCATTATTTTATCTACTGGATTTATAAAATGGCTGCCTGTTTCATTTCGTTGTTGATTTTGTTCGGGATTTATCCCGTGGAAGGGAATGAGGTGAATTCACGTGACTGTCGCCCTACGAGTCATGACATTCTGGGCCCGTATTACGTGCCGAATCCGCCCAGACTTTTAAAGTACTGCACGGGGGACCCCGAACTCCACCAGCACGAAAGACTGGTGGTGAGTGGATATGTGTACAAGAGCGACTGCATCACGCCCATGACTAACACAAGGATCGACATATGGCAGGCAGATCTCTCGGGTAATTACACCCTCGGGGCGAAGTGTCGGGGCTACTTGAGAACGGATTCTCGGGGGTATTACGAATTTTCGACTCTATACCCGGGCAAGTATCATTTACTCAGCGAGGCTTTTCGCCCGGCTCATATCCACTTCATGGTGAACGGAAAACGTCATCATAAGACGCTCATAACTCAGTTATATTTCGCTGGGGATTTGAACCTAGGACCCAACGACCCATGTACTGTGTGTAGCTCGGACAGAGAGGATCTTGTTGCACACGTGGAATTCCTCTGTGAAACTCACGACCATTCAAATTGTATCCAACTGGTAAGATTTGACATCGTTCTGGAAAGGGGAAGAGGTTTGTCACGAACCTAGAGTGTGTGAATATATCGCCATTCTTGAACTGACACTCCTATTATAAGACAAGTGAAAAGCTAATTTTTACCAATAACCCATTTTGAACTTTGAACTTTACTAATAAGAAAAGTTGAAGTGATAAATTATAAAGTGATAAGTGACCTTGATCGACTGATGATAAGTCAAACTACTCACTGCACAAAGATCGATATTCTCGATGGTTTGAATTCTCCTGGATTAACAAAAACGGAGAGAGAAGTAATCTTTTCTATCAATTTGCATGATTTTAACCATGTGACAAAAAGAAATTTCTCGAAAATTACAAATACAGTGTTGATTGCATTTTGCTTTTTATGTTCGTCTCATACTATTGTTAAATTACCTGAAAGTCCAGTTGAGCACAAAAAGTCGCCGGACATTTTTAATTATACTGATGACATGTACATATCTTATTAAAATGATTTTATAACTACAGAAGACCTGTCGCATATGAAGTTTTCAATATCTATCTTTCTAGAGGTTTATATGAAGGACAAAAATGACAACAAATTGGAGAGTATGGCAGTACTTTTTATCACCTCATTTAATAACTGTATTAAGCCATAGAAAAGATACGTTAAATCGTAAATGTTGCATTCAAAGTTATATTTCATTATCGATGATAAAGGCTTGTCATATTATATCAAGTGATATTAAATGTCAATGTAACAGGTGTTAATAAACAGATAAAGCGAACTGCGTGGATCTATTTTTACTACATTACGTTTTATATCAAAGTTCACTATACATAGGTCAAATGTCAAACTGAATATCCAAATTAATTAATATGGCATATATATCAGAGTATGCAAGATTTGTCAATTAAGCTGACAGCTCTCGCACATAACTTTCATAAGTCTAGTACAAACAGGTCACAACTTGAGATGAACGCCGGAGATCAGTGAACGTTTCAATAAAAAATACCATAAAACTAGATCAGGTTTGCAGTTTTTAAGGCCGTGTTAAGCTTGATGTTGACGAATTCAAACACAGCTATATAAAAGCAGTCAATTAAATCGTTATCCAAACTCAAAAAGTTACCAGATGAGACAGTAAAGTATACTTTGGGTGTAAAATTTTATCTTTGTTGAAAATCAATTTTTAGATAAAATCCTCAAAGTACAGAAAATGCCACTTTATTAAGCTTCAATCTGGATTATGATTATAAAACATGTCCCAGTCAACTTATCCGGATTTATGTGGAATGGAGTTATTTCCCTTCTCCGAAGGTTTGTTGATTACGAATTTAGAGTGCGTTCTCACCAAAAGCACCAAAAAATTAAGTATGAGCATGAGAACGGCTTCGTGAATACGGGTCCTGTCGTATTGATAAGCATCTACCACTCCTAACCGAGGTCTGCAGTTACCTACTTGCACGTCCCAGAACATTAAGTTCACGGGTATGAACATTTGAAATTAACAGACACGGTAAAGCTATCGATTTTTTATGGGGGTTTATTTTCATTGGTTACGCGGGTACTTTAAATCCGCGAATTCATTTATTGGGTTACATATATCGACGAAATCAAGTGTCCACGAGATGGTATTTTTTGAAAAATCAAGGAACAAACATTTAGCGATAGGAAAATTATTTTTTCTTTTGTACAATATATTGGCTGTGAATTTGCTATGCGATTTTAACGTTGATTTTTACGCGCATCACTATATGGTATGAACAAAATCAAAAGGAAATAATTTTATTTTCTAATTTACGATAAAATCTGTTATTCACACATGACTGTATTTAAACAAATTTGTAGAGGTGTTCAGTCTCGCGACTGAGAGAAGTACATGATTGATTTCAAAAATCGTGAATAGTTTTTGCACCGTTTTATCAGTACACCGTTTTCTATAAGACCATTCTGAGTATCTAAATGACTGTCACTACAGAAACAAAAAGAAAGTAAAAAATATGTGAACATAATCATAATCCAAATTCAGGAAAACTAGGGCAAAATATGAACGAAGGAAACGGAAATTCCTGAGAATAAAATTAGATGTTCCGGAAGAGTAAGCGTCTTTTGCTACATCGACGACACTTGCCATGTAAACCATGGTCAATCCAAGTAAGTAATGTCATGTCCTCAAATGAGAACAAGGTATACAACAACGGAATTAACAAGCAAACTCACGAGCATCAAACACGTCCAAGTTCATATCGCATAGAGAAATAGAATATTTCTCCATCAGATCACTATGATGACTATAAAAGTTCCCCATAACTTTTATCAACCTGCATCTTTTGAAATCATGTGTTATGAGTTTGTCCGTCAGTTGACGAACAAACAAGCTCTTTAACATAGAATCTATTGCGGTATGTAAAAACACCATAGGTTGGGAATGCAGGAATGCTGCTATCCAGAAATGGAAAATTCCCTCTAGGAAAATTGAAATCATTGCGCTTACCCATACAGTTTGGTGGAAAACTGTCCATATTTCATTACATGTAGGAAAAGATTGCGAGAAGTTCAATTCATCTTATCTTTCATAGTGAAATACCCTTTCTGACATCAGTTATGATCATTTAAAACTTTTTCTTCATAATTTCACGAAATCAGGAATCATCTTATTAACCGTAAACATGTTAATTAATGAACTGTCTGTCTGTCTGTCAAAGTTTATCGTAAAAATAAAGTTAAGTCATCTTATGCTATATATATATGTATTTATATAAATAGCAAAAGGCGTTAATGATGTTCTTGTAACTTACGCCCAGTCCATTTTTGCCTATTTTGGCAATTAAATGTGTTCAAACCAAGGCATATGTATACAAGTAGTGCGTGATGAAATATTTGTAAATACCTACCTAGAAACGAGGTGCACACATAAACGGAACATGCAATATCGAGCTTTTATTTTGAGAGGCAAACTTACATCACTTATTAATGGCAAGGGGAGGGCAGTGGGATACTCGTGTATATATAGTTGAAAGAAGGAGAGAAAGATCGATAGATATAAGGAATTAATGCAGAAAGCATCGGGCACGATATATACGTTTAAATTACACCGTTCCCCGGAAGAGAATTTTACAGCAATAGGATGTGCTCTATTGAATTTCATGTGTCTCGAATAAAGTGATGTTTTGTCTTATCCGATATGTTGTTAATATTATCATTAGTCTTACCAACTAGTATGTGAAGTAACTGTAATGATATAAGACTCTTTCATATGTCGGGGTGTAGGATAGGGATATTCCATCCAGTTGGGGTTGGGGTGGGGTGGGGGTGGGGTTGTCACAAAATGCAAAATCCCGAGACTTTGCTCAGGGTTTGACCACAGTTTGTGACCCAGAGAGTGTGAAATATCCCATCCTGTAGCTCGACATGTGAAAGAGTATTTTTCTTTAATTTTATTCTAAAATATTGGGAAACAAGATGCGTTTATGAAACACTATGCCCACGGTTGCAACAAAATTCTGAAGCGAGACATTAAAACTGTATTGTGTAAAGCATGTGCTAATTGTGTGTACACTTTGTGAAACACCTGTCTTTATTGTGGTAATGATTTTTTTTCTTACTTTCAAATGTAGGTTAAAGGTCACGGTCAAAGTCACATGGTAAAAACACCAAATGAAAGGTCTTGTCACAAGTAACATAAATGGCAATAGTTATTGCCAATGCTATTTCTTTTCAAATGTAGGTCAAAAGTCAAGGTCACATGGTCAAAATGTTGGAAAGACCTGGTCATAAGAAAGATACATGTCAAATATGAAAGTCCTATCTCTTACGGTGCAAACGATATTAGCAAGGTTAAAGTTGACATCAGACAAACAGACAGCTCAAAAACAATATGCCCCCTTACTTTCGGCAATATGCTGAAATGGAAACCACGTTACACAAAATCATTTTCGTTATGCAATTAATTGACAAATTGACAAAGAAAATGAATTCTCGGTAACTAGAAAGTTTGACCTCGAAAATTAACCCAAAACAAGAATTCGCTGCAAATAACTATTTGTGTATATGGTTGTATACAATGTACCTTATATCGGGATATGATGTCAACTGGGGAGGGACACGTCACATTTCTACGCGCGAACACGTGCGTGCTTGTATTGCATGAGTGGATATTTAACACAAGAACAGCGAACTGGGTGTATTGCTCTGGACAGCCAATTATTACACGATTAGAGATGAAGATACAGTAGTTTGCCATCCGTGTAGTGTATAACCAATACACACACCTTTGAGATAACTGGTTAACTCATAAATATATTTCTTTGTTATATTTTAATGAATTCCATCCACACTAGAATTATTCTCACACATCATTTACATAATGGCCCACGATTTTTCTACTTCAGACTGTTCATTGTATCGAACACCACTCGGATTCTGAAATGAAACATGGTTTTGATTTCAACGATATTGATTTACTCCAGACCGGTTAATCCTTTAAACGTGTTATGAATTTCCTTGAGTAAAAATGTATGTTATTTATTCAAAAGCAGTACTGAGGAATATTTCAAGTTCGGTCATGGTTCTCGTGTCTCTTGACGTAGAAGATGTAAGGGCAATTCGTGAATATAGTGAAAACAGTTGATTTAACATGACGGAGATTTCGCCATTCGGTGTAAAAACCGTCGATTCTCGTTATATCAAAGTCGACGAGACCGTTGGAAAACCTCGACTTATCCGAGTATTCGATTTAAGTAAAGTTCTCGTGCTTACTGTGAAGAGTGACTGGGACCGACAAAATGCTTCGAGTTATACCGGGTCATCGAGTTATAAGAGTTCGAGATAACGAGGTTCAAATATACTTTATTTCATCCTTTTCAAATAATGTTTTCAATACCCATAAGTCTAAAATATTTCACATGAACTATACTCTGCTTTAATATATAAAATGAATACTGGCATAAACTTGGCCAATGGACTCGTAGTTCTCTGTCAACTTGTTTACTACTCAACGCAGCAGACACACTGGTATTTTTGTTAATAGACAACAACAGTATATATCCTAGAGACAAGAAGTTTTATCAAGGACAAATCGTCTTGGTCCTTACGAAAAAAAGGAAATCTTGAAGAAAAACATGATCTTCTCTTTATGTAATGCAAAAACAAGCAAAAAGCAAAATACATTTCACTGACCACTGTCCTTACACAATTCTCGCTTTAAATAGTTGTGGTCACTAGGATTAATACAAATTATGTAACAGTGTAACAAATGCCAAACACCTGATATGTCGGGAACAGTAGACCTGTTCACATGCTTTGTGTTTGGCTCTAGTGCAAACGATTACATTACACATTTTCAAAGACTCATCCTGTTTTGTCGGAATAGAGCAAAAACAATGTTTTAACTTACAAATCAATGAAGATAGATAAACCAAGTTGATAAATGTGCCGATTTTGATCCATTATTTAACTCCTATTGACCAAATTTTACCAGATTGCATACGTAGAGGTGCGTGAACTCGCCGTTTTTATGTCTCACTTCACAGTAACTTACAATTAAGGGACACTGAATTAATTTGTCAGTATCTTCTAAAACGGATAATTCTACCTCAGTTCAACACATTGAATCTCAATTTAAACAAATCTTTCTTTGTATGTTTTAAGAAATAGTGGAAACCAGATCAAGTTTTTAGTGCCCGTACATGTGTAAGTACACTTTGATCTAATTATATATCTCACTAGTTTTTTTTTACTTTTATGATGCTCAGCCTGTCAGTAAGATACGTATGTTTAT